GGTCGGACAGGTCCGTAATACCCTCACATGATAAATATATTTGCTAATACCTGGAGATGTTATCCAAATTCCTGTGTATAAAGCCTCATCTTCCAGCTGGAGATAATTAATACAAATGGATGCACTGCACGTATCCTCTACGTTGATAAAAGTTACTCTGTCTGTCAAGGCCCTGTATGTTTTAATGATTCCTTCCACATGGTTCGTTACTGTGTTGACTGCTTTAAAATAAAATCAACTGCTACATCAGCATTCTCACGTGGGTATGATTTAATATTAGACGGCAAAGTAAGGTTATCCCCTACTGTTGCTGTAATTGGACGTTCCACTCTTTGATGTGTTGTAAGTGAGACTTGTTCCCTCTCCTGAATTCCTGCTTCGTTTTCCTTAGCTTGTGGGGGTTCCTGTACAATGGGGCTATTAATTGCAGGTGTGTCAGTGTTTTCTGTAACAGCTGAGTCAGTGTTGGGAGCTAAAGTACGGGTAATGGCTAGGGATGTAAATAGGGTTTAAAAATAGTAACAGTTTAACCTGTTAAAATTCTGTCGGTTAAACATTAACTGTTAAGGAGTTCACATAGGCAGGAAACTAGGGGTGCGGAGGTGTGTGCTGCAGCACCCCCACGTCTTACGCGGGGCTCCGCTGCTGCCCGCACCCGGCATCCCAGCTTCCGCCCCGGGCCCGGGCTCCTCGCTAACGCCCCGCGCCCGGAACTCTGCTGCCGGCAGGGGCACGGGGCTCTGCTGCCAGCCCCTCAGCCGCTCTTTGATGATGTAGCCCGACTACAGCCTTCCTTCTGTTTCACATATTACATTTAGAACCGTTCCTGCAGGATGAGCTTGGCTGGCCGCTTCCAGTTCAGTGGGATTATTTGAAATTTCTACCCAAATTCTCTGGTCACGGAACGTGTCTGGTTTAGTCTTTGGGTGTTAGCCAGTCCCTCTGCACGTTGGATCACTACCATTACACTCAGCAGTCCTCGTATCCAGATTAATTTCATGACCTGTGAAAACAAAAACAATCACTTCTTGGGTTTTTTTTTTTTTTTAAGCGGCTTAATTGTATGTATTGTAAACCTTATTTGATTGAGGTACATTGGAAAGGGCAAAAGCCATTTTCCTGCCAGCACTCCACATCCAATTCAAACAAAATTTCATCCTCTGTCATGGGATTTCCAAAAACAAACAAACTAGGATTTGCTTGGATTATAGGCCTGGCACTTGTCCATCCAACCTTTGGACCCAGCATCTCGAGTGTTTTCTTTCCTTCCTGTTCCATTTTCCATATTGTTGTGTATCTATTATTTCAATCTATTACAAATAGTTAGTACCTTGTCTATTTTCCACCATATTCATGCTTTTCCAGTTAACTTGTCTGACAGGATAAGGCCTACTTAATTCAACGGTTGTCATTTGATTCCAGGCTACTTGTGTTAATGCCTGGGGCGCCGATACGGCCCATAGGCCCAAATTTAATAAAACTCCGTCCCAATTTGAAAAGATTCCATTTTACTTGTAGACGGTTATCTTTTGAGATCGTCTGTAAAAAAAAAAAAAAAAAAAGCACGAGATGTAACATACAGTTTAAGCCCTGAACTCTTTGAACTGCATGGCGTGTTTCCACCGAGGTTGGTTCTCTCTTTCGACCAGGTACCGTGATGGTCCCAGTTTATTTATAGTCTGATGTGGACCAGGCCATTCCGTTTCTTTTTGGGTGGTGGGACGGTTTTAACCATTAGTTAGTCCCTAATTGCCACTATTTTCATGAAAGGCTTGATTCACTTTTTGCTGGTGCAGCGGCTAACCCCTGGACCGGGCCCAGTCAATATTTAAAACTATTCATCCAGGTTTTTGTGGCCAATGCTGCTATGGCTTCCCAATCTGGGGGATATCATAGATTTTCTGATGCAGGCATAGGCCTTCCAAACAGTATTTTATGTGGGCTAAGCCCAGTCGTACGGTTTGGACGACTACGGATTCTCATGGGCACCCATGGGAGATCCAGATCCCAATTTGTGCCTAGTTCATCACGTACCGTAGATAACTCAATTTTAAGAGATTTATCCATTCTTTCTACTTGTCCTCTGGCCTGAGGGTGGTATGGGATATGCAATGGTAAGGGAATACCAGCCCGAGCTCCCATGCTTTGGTACACGTCCAATAAATGCTGGCCCATTATTAGAATCGACACTGTGAGGTAAACCCCATCTAGGAAATACTTCTCTCATTAAGGCTTTGCGGTGAGATTGCTACCTTCCTTTCTTGTGGGGAATGCCTCCACCCACTTACTGAAACTATCCACAATGACAAACAAAAATCAGTTCTTCCTAGATCTTATAGGCAGTGGCCCTACAAAATCCACCCGCAGGCTTCAGAACAGCCCTTTCGAAGCCTGATGCATTAGCTCACCTCTTCTTTTTCGTTGTGCAGGATCTTGTTTTGCGCATGTTAAGCAGCGGTGTGTATGCATTTCCATGTCTTCCCTTATCCTTGGCCACCAGCCTATAGCCTCTTCTAACTTGGGGTGTCCCCCTACAAGAGAGTCACGTATCCAGCTCACCGATAAATGTCGTCGTTGCTGTGGAATTACTAAAACTCAGTCGTTCTCTGGATTGGCCAAGAGTAAATTCTTTTTTATTTATTGTAACTCCATGCCGCTTTGAAGGGCATTCTGAAATCCATTGCTTGATAAGTCATCTTGCATTTTCTGCAGCGTCCGTGTTCCTTCCTGATTTTCTCTACTTCTCTTTTGTTCTTCCCTTGCCCGAGCATGGGTGGTTACAGCCACAGGGGTGGTTTCACACAAAGTATCCTCAATTGCTGCTGCTTTGGCTAATCTATCTGCTTGTTCGTTTCCCCCACTGCAGTGGCCCCCTTTTTTTAATGTGACTTTATTTTAACTCTTCTGACCTTTCTTTTTTAATAGCTAATTGCCAGGTTCTCTAATCTTTGCCATAGTGGCTTGTGTTTAATCTCAGGCCCATCCGTTCTTGTACAGTTTATAGAACTCTACCAGGGAAGGTAGATTGTAACACCTTTGTACACGTAGTCTGAATTGGTCCCAATAATGACTTTACAGATGCTCCCCGACGTATGCCTTGCGTAACTCGAATTTTGCATAAATCGGAAACGTATACCTGACCATTACGCCAAAAAAACAAACAAACAAAACCTTCCTATTTCTAGCTTACGGAACTTTTTCCGTAAGTGCGGATTTGCGTAAGTCAGGTTTGCGTAATCTGGGGGGCATCTGTAGTTTGTTTTCTTTTCATTAGTTTTCACACTTCTCTGAGTGCAGCTGCTTTTGCAACTTATGTTCCCCTCGATCCAGCTTACGTTGAAAGCACTCCTGCTGGTGCAATTCCCCGTGATGTTCCTACATCGCAGGATGGTTTTGAGTTACCCGAGTAATCATTTGAGTAACGTTATTCTCAAACCCAAATGTGTGGGTACCTAAAGAGCCCAGTAGTGTTCGAAAAAGCAACGGCTCCTCCTCCAAATGGATTCCCACCTCTTGCAGCAACTGGGAACGTTTGTGTCTCCGCAACAGAAATTCATTACAATTTTCGAATGGTTCCCACTCAAGCAGTTAGTTCATTAATCTTTAATGCATCAAGTCTAAGTGTGAGTCCGCTGGACAGACTCCAGGCCACGTTTCCCCACTGTCCTTTTTGAACTCGTGTTTGCTTTGCCCATCTACGTACGTGTGAGTTTTTGCCGCATGCTGTCCCATCTCTGCACAGATAGTTGGTTCAGCAGACCTCAGTAGTACTACCCAGAAGGCCCACTTGCTCGGTTCGGTGGCAGAAAGGCTCGGCCAGGTTTATTGTCTACAAAGCACGTGATCAGCGTCCCATACGCTGCACGGGTGCACTGCTTGTGTGCTCGTGGCAAGGGACCAGCACGTTCAACGTCAAGTTGTCCCCTAAGCCAGCACGAAGAATCGGGGTGGTACGTTGATATTGGTACGGTGAACAAACATCTTACGTACCACCTTCTGTGCTTCCTGACATCGGTTATCTCCTCTTGTACCTTGCTGCTGATGTCTCGGACAAAACGTCCCTATTCATCACTTCTGTCAAACCATCTTATCTTGTGCTCGACTAGGGTGGACCTGGGTGAGTCTTCTCTTCTGGGATGTGTTTACACGAACACCCAGTGCCTAGTACTCAGGAGCACCTGGGTCTCAGCCCCGCTAGCCGTGCCTTTGCCAAGTTCATGTGCCGCATGGTGAACTTGTAAGCAAGTGTCTGTTTGATGACAGGGCCTGACTTTGGCTCCTAGCATGGCCTGGCTTTGCTGACAGTGGTTCAGGCCTCAGGTCTTGCCCCAGGCTCCAGGCTCTCTTGCTCTACTCCACTGTACTTCAGAACGCCTCTCTGAGGGGGCTGGGGGTGGACGAAGGCTTTATAGGCTCTGCCTTCCTCTCTGGGCCTGAGATGTAGCACTGTGGGGCTGGGCCAATCCCAACATGCTATTGAGTGCGGCTCTGTTTCAGGGTGGGAAGGGGCCCCCGGCCACATTCTGGCAAAATCTCCGGGGGACGGCTTGAGTACTGGAGAGGTGCAGGGGAGCCCTGGGTGCCTGAGGGCTGTTGTGAGCGCTAGATGGACCCGTAGGTGCCACCTTTACAGTGGGGAGGCGCTGCAGGAGTGGGAAAGGGGCCCTGCTGGCTTGCCATGGCTGGGGCAGGCAGGCTCACCCCCTCTGGAAGTCCTGGCTGGCACCGCTGGGGAGGTAGCTGGCAGTGCTCTGGGGAGAGTGCCCTGCACTGTCACTGCTGAGGTGGGGGAACCTCAGTTCTGCTGACTCGTGCCCTCGATCCTGACTGGCGCGACAGAGAGAGCTCGGGGACAGCCCAGGGCTGTAGGCCGCCTCCGGCTGCTGTTGCTGCCCCTGAATGGATCTGTTACCCCCGCAAAATGCTCCTGGGTCCCCCGGTGCTGCTCAGTCCTGGTCATCCCGCTGACGCCCCGTCTCTGCTCTGCTCCCCCCCCCCAGGCAAGGACTACGAGAACGCTGTGAAGTATTACAGCGAGGCCATCGACCTGAACCCCTCCAATGCCATCTACTACGGCAACCGCAGCTTGGCCTACCTGCGGACAGAGTGCTATGGCTACGCGCTCTCCGACGCCACCAAGGCCATCGAACTGGACAAGAAGTACATCAAAGGCTACTACCGGCGGGCGACCAGCAACATGGCCCTGGGCAAGTTCAAGGCCGCCCTGCGCGACTATGAGACGGTGAGTGTGAGCCGGGGAGCTCTGCTGGGAACCCAGCGTCAGCGCCGCGGTCCCCTCCGGCGTTGCAATGCTCTGGCTCGAGTTCTGCCTTTGCCAACACCTGGTCGGTAACATCACCTGGGTGTAGCTGAGAGCAGAGCTAGCCGTGGAGGGCGTCTGCACCCAGGAGGGTGATGGGTCGAAATGGGGCGGGGGACAGGTAGGACTGGGATGAACTGAACAAAGGGATCTTTAGCCCCTGTCCTGGGGAATGTTTCCCATCGGTCAGGCAGGCTAGACTGTGAACTGTCTCCCCGGGCAAAGGGAGGGGTCCCATGGTTTGGGACACACAGGTGCGGTGATGTCCAGAAAAATAGCCCCCTAACTTCTGCCCCATGTGTGTCCAGGTCCTGCCTGCTCATGGTTCCCCCAGCAGCGTTATAGTGCCAGTAGGTAGGGCACAGGCCCCGCCTCCCTCAAACAATAATGACGGTGCCTTTTAAGGGGGTCACCGTGTTTTCAGTGGGTGAGACTAAGCGGTGTGCCCAGCACTACAGAGCTAGGAGAACCCAGGAGTCCTGACTCCCAGCCTGCCCTGCTCTAAGCACTAGGCCCCACTCCCCGCCCAGAGCTGGGGATAGGACCCAGGAGTCCTGCCTCCCAGCCTAATGCCAAGTCTCACACTTCCCCGGGCCTCTACTTGTCATGCCCCTTTGTCTGCCTTTCCCTCCGTTTCTCCCTCCTGCCTGACGCTGGCCTGTAATGGACTCTGTGCTTTCCCCCTTCCAGGTGGTGAAGGTGAAGCCAAACGACAAAGACGCCAAGATGAAGTATCAGGAGTGCAACAAGATCGTGAAGCAGAAGGCGTTTGAGCGCGCCATTGCCAGCGACGAGCACAAGCGCTCTGTGGTCGACTCCCTGGACATAGAGAGCATGAGTGAGTTGGGCTGCGGGGCTCCGGGCCTGGCTTCTCTGGTCACGTGGATTCCAGGGGTGCTGGGGGAGAACTGGCTAACTTGGGGGAGGGGCAGTTACCACGAGCTCCCGGAGCAGCGGTGGGGCACAGAGGGCTAATGGGACCCTTGGATGTTGAAACGGGGATAGTGAGTAGGGGCGGGGAGGGGCTTTTCCCTCTGTACCCGGCCTTGGCGAGCCGACGCTGGATCCTGCATTTTAAAAAAGGATGTTGCAGATTTGTCGAGGGTGCAGAAAAGAGCCAGGAAATGAAGGGCTCTGATGTCTGCGGAGAAAGGCAGAACAGGGACCAATGGCTGGCAGGTGAAGCCGGAGAAATTCCAGCTGGAAATCAGAGCCAAATGCTTACCGGTGCGGGTGACTAACCACTGGAACAAATAGCTCAGGGAAGTGGTGGGTTCTCCAGCCCTTGATGTCTCCCAGTCCAGCCCGGCTTCCTTGCTGAAAGACGCTTCAGTCACGCACAAGTGATTAGGCTCGGTATAGGGGAAATACTCCGGCATGCGCTGTACAGGAAGTCAGAGGAGACTATGATCTGGTCTTGCTTCCTATTGCATGGATATCTTGCCAAAGTGCCTCGTGAATGATGCATGTCTCATGAACGCAGCTACCAAAGGGTGTGGCGCTGGGCCTAATATAACAGCTAGTTGGCCTCTGTGTCGCCTCTGCTCTGTGTAGTTTTAATCTGGGCTCTCACGCCACGATCACCCGCACCACACCTTGTGTGTGTCATCGGCATGAGACTGCAAGGACGTTGCTGGAGAGGAATGTGTGTGTATGATTCCGACAAAGCCGGATCCCATGTGCCTCTGGCATCCTTACAGAGAATTGGGGCAGGGTCAGGGTGGTGTTACCCTGAACACAAAGGCTGCTGATTCATGACTAAAACCCAGGATTGGAAGCTGGGAAATCTCGGTTGCTTTTGAATCTATCTATACAGTAACATGTGCTAGGGATCGGCGCCCCCGTTCTGCCAGGCAGTGCACGTACACAGTGAGTCAGTCCTTGCCTATGAGAGCTTGCAGTCTGAACAGATAAGGCGAGGGAAAAAGGAACAATCCCTATCCCTGTTTTACAGATGAAGAGCTGAGACCCAGAAAGATTTAGGGATAAATCTTTCAAAAGCGCCTTAATCCCATTTGTAAAACATCCAAAGTCATGGAGACTCGGGCGCCTCAGACCCTTAGGGCAGGTTTTCAAAGGGATTTAGGCACCTAAAGAGGCAGATTGGCACCTAGTGGGATTTTCAGAGGCACCTAAGCAGGTGAAATCAATGGGGGTTTTGGCACCATGGAAAATCCCACCTTAGTTAAGCACCTAGCTGCATCTTTAGGCTCCTAAACAGCTTTGAAAACCCTGCCCTAAGGGACTGAGCCACCCAGCTCCTGTTGATTTAATGAAAACCTGCGTAGTCACTTCTGAAAATTCTTGCCCCAGACCACACAGCGAGTTCATGGCGGAGGCAGGAATTAAACTCAGCTCTGCCAAGTCCCGATCAGGGGCTGTAACCCTCTCCCCCGTTCTCCTGCTAGTATCAGAAGGGCCTGTGGCAGGGACGCAGGCTTCCCGACTCTGGAAACCAGACTCGACTGGTAGCCCTTCGGAGTGAGTGCCGTGCCGAGCTTGTAAAAAGGGGTTCTGCCAGAAGCACATTGTGGGCTGTTTTCTGTCAGCGACTTCGATCAAATTTGCTTCATTTATAAGAGCAAAAGGCTCCCTCTTCCCCTTGATGTTTCAGATGTCTCAGGAAGAGGCCCAGGTAGTCTGGTGGCTCGGGGAAGCAGGCTCTAGGATCAAAGCCATCTATTTCACACACCACGCAGGTGAGGTGGCTCGGCTTTGCTCCCCCCCCCCCCTTTTTTTTTTTGATGAATCACCCAAATCATTTTTCCTTGTAACCTACTGGCTTCCGGGCTATTTACAGACATTCTGGGGTCTTAGATTTGTCAGCCTGGCCCTGTGTCAACCCAATCAGTCGGCGTGGCAAGAGAGGAATGTGTGTCCTCTTCCAACCAGAGAGCGCCAGATTTATACAATGACAGTGTCCTTCATAGGGTGTGTTTGGGGGAACTGCAAAGGCTGTGGTGTATTGGCTGTGGAGGGGGGTGTCTGGCTGGAAGAGTAGAAGATACAAACTCCGAGTGCCTTTGGAGGGTCTACTGAGACCTAGGGTACAGCTGAGAGTAGGGGGGCGCTAAGGTGGCTTTAAGCCACTTTTATGCCCTCCCAATCTTGGTATGCTTCAGGGGCTGGAAAGGCCCCACCGGCATATCTTAGATAGTCCTGGGGGCCTGTCTAAGTCACAGCACTATAGGTTGCGTCCTGACCCCAACACCCCCTTATGCCAGCGCTTCTGAAAGGGTCCTCTGCTGACAGCCTTACAGCTGTCTTCCACAGTGCCTGCACCGGGGAGAATCCTGGCCTGGCTGGATCTGGTGGGGTTTAGGCCCCTTTACACCACTTTGGCTCTTCTGCGTAAAGGGGCTGGAACGCCGCTGATGGTTTCACCCCTTTTCACTTCTTTGCTTTCAAGGGTGTGTCTGCGGTAGATAGTAGATGTGTTGTCATGTATTGCAGGGTAGACGTGTTGTCATGTATTGCAGGGTAGACGGTTGGACGGGAGCCACTGGATTAGCTCTGGTTTATTGGGGCTCTTCACTTCTGATTTTTTGGTTCTCTGAGTCAGACCTGACTCCACAAACTGCGGTTAACTTCCCTCACCCATAAGTGAACTTTGTCATGCGGGACGATAAAAGTCACTGCTTGTGTAAATCCAGCACATGCTGTTGGGAATTGGACCAGCATTCCTGTCTTGCTGAGCTGAGTGAATGGGGTGGGTTCCAAGGTGCTAGTCATACAAATAATAATATGGAGAAAGGCCAATAAGTAGCTAGGCAGCAGTGGTTGGGAAAAGCTGAGCTGTTAAAGCAATGATCCCAGGGTGTCTATAAATAGCCCTCCAGCTGGAAAATTACAAGGAAACATGATTTTATGACTCAAGAATCAGAGCAAAACATCACCTAGGCCAGATTTTCTGAAGAGCTCACGTGATTGGGTGCTGAGATCTCTTGAAATTCTGACCCTTTGGGGGCACAGATTCCTCAACTTTATTGCCGGGAGGGATTGTTAGGTCATCTAGTCTGATCTACTGTATAACACCCATCCCACTATCCCTGTGCTGAGTCCCTTAACATATGATGGGCTAGGGTCTCTTCCGGAAAGGTCTTGACCTCAAGCCGTTGCGAGATGGAGAATCCACCCCTTCTCTCGGGAGTTGGTTCCAGTGGTTAATTGCCCTTGTTGTTCAACGTTCGGGAAGAGGAGCGCTTACAAATTCTGAGTGCCGGCCTCGTACCGAGCAAATGGCTACAGGATCATCCGCCCACATGTTGATTTCAGCTCAGCAGAGCTTTGTGCTTGTGGTAGGAATCAGTTCTTCCTACCTGAGAGCAGCTCCAGTGCCCAAAACATGCACCTAATCCGCTTCTCTGCCTGTCCCAGCTCAGTCTCCTCTACCAGGCTCCCCTGGACAATTCATGGAGGGTTTTTGATCAGTGGCTTGTCCCTCTGTCAGGTGAATGTCTTTGGTTCCAGGGCCTGTTTGAGCCGATGGGGCTTCATCCCATGATGTGTCGAGCGCCCTCTGGAGTGGGAATCAAGAGGACTCTGCCTCTGGCAGGATCACTCCCCTGACGACACTGCCTTTGGAAGCTTCGGCTCTTAAGCACTTGGAGCTGATGCACGAAGGAGTGGATTCCTGTGCAGCTGGGGATGTGTAGGGTGCAGCTGGGTGGAAGAGGGCAGCCTGTGGAAGCAGCGGAGGCGGGTGGGGCAGTGCCCGCAGGGCTCTGGATTATTGGGTGCCATCCTGTTGCTAACGAGTGATTCTGCTCTCCTCCCGTCTCCACGTCTGCCAGCCATCGAGGACGAGTACAGTGGCCCCAAGCTGGACAACGGGAAGGTGACGCTAGCGTTCATGAAGGAGTTAATGCAATGGTACAAGGATCAAAAGAAACTCCACAGAAAATGTGCCTATCAGGTAATTGCCCGCCCGCCCTGCCATAGGGCGGGAGGCTCATGCGTGGAATCCTTCGCCTCTTCTTCAGAAGGAGCTGGCATCCTCTTTCCCGGCTGTGGGTGGCAAAGACTGCCGCGGCAGGCCGACAGGAGTCCAGGGTGTAAAATGGAGCCAGCCAGTGTCACCCTGTAACATAGAGGGAGCCACAAAGACTACACGTCCCAGCATGCAGTGCTTCCGAGTCATCGAGATGGCACATTGCATGCTGGGAGCTGAACTGTCCATCCTGCGTGTCAGGCCCCTTGTTTGCAAGGCCAGGGACTCGCCCAGCAAGACGCTGGGCAAGGGTGGGAGACAGGGCTGTCTCCTGTGTATCTGGAGATAGGGCTGTGTGTTCATTTCCTGCCCTTGCTAACTCTTCCCTTTTCCCCTTTGGCAGATCTTGGTGCAGGTGAAGGAGGTGCTCGTCAAACTTCCCACGCTAGTAGAAACCACGTTAAAAGAGGTGGGTATCCTTCTCTGCAACCTGGGGGTGGCAGGTCCTGGGATGTGCTTTGTATAACCGGGGGGTGGGTTCGGATCCCAAACCCGCAGTGCTGGGTGAGCAGAAGCTCCAGTGGCTTCATACCCCACCCCCCCAGGCTGCTTGGGGGCCAAAACACCTGTGGTGTAACTTGAGCCATGGCCTGCCTGCACTGCCTATGAGCAACTATTAAATCCATGCCATGTCTCCTCCCACCTCTGACCTCACCTCCCTTGGAGCTTGCCCGGCTAACCTGTATGGGGCCCTGGACCAGTGGAGATCCATCCCTGGCCGGCTAAGCCGCTCCTTGCTGCATCATGGGGCAGTGGAGTGGGAGGGGGAAAGGTGTCCAACCCTTATCTGAGAGCGTTTGCAGCTGGCTGAACAGCTGTTTAACAGCTTTCGGGATTGCAGTGGGAGGCTCTGACCTGTCTGTCCTTTGATACACCCATTGCTGTTGTAACCAGGGTCAGAGCCCGCAAAGGGGCAGGGTTGTTTGAAATAGGCCATGGTCTTCCCCTTGAGTTACGTACTTCCCTCCTTGCCCCAGCATGGTGATGCCATTATCGTTGATTGAGATGCATGCGATTCCAACCTCCCTCCCTAAATTCCTGGATGCAGTATAGTTGTAGCTGTGTTGGTCCCAGGATATTAGAGAGATGAGGTGGTCCAATAAAAGATATTACCTCACCCGCCTTGTCTCCCTAAATTCCTGCTGGTCAAACTGGACCCAGTCTTCTCCTTGTGTCTTCAATGCGTGCAGTGTTATTGTGCCCTGTTAATCAGCTGCCATGTCCAACCCCAGAGGTGGTTGCATTTCACCACTGATGTATTAATTTAGATGGAGCATATGGGCCCAACGAGTCAAAAGCGTTAACCTGGCCCTGCAACTGTCCAACATTAAACAGAGTTAAACAACGTGTGGGGACCGCAGCCTGCTTAGCATCACGGCAAGCGCATTATTAAACGTCATTTTAATCTTTCATTCAAGATACAGAAAATAAGGAAAAACAGGTTGAAATGTAAAATAGTAAGTCGAGCTTTCATTTTAACAGCATCCCTTGTTCTTTCCCTTTAGCTGGACAGATTTTAGAAAGAAACTCCCCGTCTCTGCCAGTCTTTTAGACGGCATTACAGATGGTAGTTACTCTACCTTTTGGGGAAAAGAGACAAAGTTAGTTGAGATGCGCTTGAGCGGCCGCTGTTAAAGTCTGAAAGAGGAGAGGAGACCAGACAAACGGCCACAAGAGGAAAGACAGAAAAGGCAGCTTCTGTCTGCGGTTGACTTTCGCTTGCAGCCTCGCTGCTGGAAAAACTCAGGCCCAGCCCCTGGTCTGATCAGCCACTCTGAGACCTGGCAAACTCGTACCAGCATCGGGCTGTTTAGGGCCTTGCTCTGGGCTGCCTCTTTCTGGTCCCAGGCTTACAGCAGCGTTGGCCGGCTAAGCCAGACTCATTAGGCAGAAGGAAAATGGAGAGAGACAGGAAAGAGAAGAAATAAGTTAGGGAAGGGAAAGGGCACATTGGAGGAAGGACACAAAGTCTCATGTCCCAGGTAGTATTCAGGATTTAGCCGGAACTGCTGGAGGTGACGATGTTGTCTGGCTTCCTCTCTCTGACCCGGTCTGGTCAGGGTATGTCTCATGATTGGGATGAAGACGTTCCAGGGTCCCAGGAGATGGTGGGCGTAGCAGCCATGATGGTGAAGCATCTGTCTGAGTCAGCCAGCCTCACGGTTTCATAGATTCCAAGGCCAGAAGGGACCATTGTGGTCATCTAGTCCGACCTCCTGCCAAACCCAGGCCAGCGAGCTTCCCCACAGTCATTCTTAGAGCAGATCCTTTGGGAAACCAGCCGCTCTGGATTTAAAATTTATCAGTGATGGAGAATCCACCATGACTCTTGGTAAATTGTTCCCATTGCTGCCAGCTTTCTCCTCCCCTGAAGTCTGTTTTGGAGGACCCCGGAAGGGCGTGATGGCTGGAATAGCCCATCCTCTCATTATTTTGTCCGCATTCAGCCTGTTTTCCGACACACCAATTTTGGTTCGTTGATTTCCAGTCCCACACTTGTTTACCCGGCATGATCTTAACACAGTCGTTGAATTATATCAGTAGGCCTTTGGGTTTAGACTGATTCCGTCTTTTTGTCTCCCTTTGGCACCTTTTCCCATCAACAGTCATCGTTATAGGTTATTAAACATATACTCACTTTTTAGAATTGAGCTTGCAATTAGTGTAAATGTATAGGCCCAATTATTAGAACAGTGAGCAATCCCTGTTTAAACACCTGCCATGCCCCCTGGATGGGGAAGCGATCACTGAATGAACAGCTGCCACGCTCCACCCCAGACGTGGTTGAGTTTCTGTGCTGGGTGAGGGATCCCAGTATAAACAGCTGCCGCGTCCCACCTCAGAGGTGGCTGTGTCTCCGCGGTGGGAGACAGTGAAGCCACTCTTGCAAAGTGCTTTGGGATCCTGCAGGGCGAGAGGAGCTCTGTCTGGCTTGAGTTTTACTTTTCTTCTGTCTCCTTTTCCTCTTCTCCTCTCTCGGCCTCTCTTCTTCCAGACAGAGAAGGTCACCGTGTGTGGAGACACCCACGGGCAGTATTACGACTTGCTGAATATATTTGAACTGAATGGGCTGCCGTCTGAAACGAACCCATATGTATCCTTGGCTGGTTCCCCCTTTGATCCAGCACGTGACGTGTGCGGATGGAGGCGCTCTCTAAGAACAGGAGGTGACAGGGCTAGGAGACAGACCTGGGTTCTGTTCCAGCGTTGGGATGTATTGCTTCCCCTCCCTGTGCCTCGGTTTCCCCATTTGTACTATGCGGGAAACGGTCCTGATCGGCATAGAGGTTATACTCCCATAGTGACCCATTCCTGACTGCCGTGCTGGGGCGGGTGGCTCCTTTGTCGAGCTTGACAACCGAGCACGAGTCCTGAGTCGGAGGGCTTCGGGAATGAGTTAAAACTACATCTTGGTGGTGCTGGGCTAAATTCTTTCTAAGCTGCACAGCCCCCCCAGCCCAGGTGCTGCTGTGGGGAGAGAGAGCTGGGGGAGTCCTCTCTCCCCACTGTAGCCCCGGGGCAGCCTGCACCCCACACTCCTCATTTCCAGGCCCACCCCAGAGTCCACACCCCCAGCCGGAGGTCCCAGTGCCCCAGCCTTGAGGCCCCTCCCACACTCCGAACCCCTTGGCCCCACCCTCCACCACATGAATTGTGACGTGTCACACCTCACCTCCATATTGGTGCACATAACAAAATTCATTCCGCATACGCGTGGGAAAAATTAGAGGGAACACTGGTGCTGGGGTGTCCTGGGATGCCTCTGAGATGCTTTCCGGGGAGAGAAGCTGGGGGGGGGGGGTCACCCACCATCTGTCAGGCCTTTGGGTGGGACTGGGGAAGAGGCTCCAGAAAAGCAGCATTGGGGAGAGGAAAGGTGCAGAAAGGGTGGGAAGGAAGGCCGGCCCAGTGGCTAGGGCTGCCAGCCTAGGGCTTGGAGACCAGGGCTTAAGTGCCTGTGTGATCTTGAGCCAATCCGTTAGCCTCTCCGTGCTTTGGTTCTGTAAAATGACAATTCCCAGGGTTGCTTGCTCCAGTACCACGGTTGTGTGTGTGTGTTGTGGGGGGGCACACGAGTACCTATGGTGGATCGCAGTGTTCTTCATCCCAGAGTGACGCCTGGGCCCTTTTTCCTGAGCGCAGCCCCCTTGGCAGATATTCAATGGGGATTTCGTCGACCGCGGCTCCTTCTCCGTGGAAGTGATATTAACGCTGTTCGGTTTTAAGCTGCTGTATCCGGATCATTTCCACTTACTCCGTGGTAAGTGCAGTCCCATCCCACCTTGGGGGGGTGGGGTGGGAGAGGGGGAATAAGCCACTGGAGAGCCCTGCTTTGTACTCAAGTCGGGGCAAGAACTCCCCAAACCGTCCCCTCCGCTGACTGTTTTCCGGGTGCTTCCCCAGCCTGCAGCTGAGACCCAGAGTTGGAGTTCCCCTTCTTAGCAAAACTGGCTTCTCCAAATCCACCTGCTGTCTCTGGGATTCCCGAGCTGGAGAGGATCATGGGGATCATCATGGAAATGCAGAATTTCCTGGATGCTCTGGCTTTTGCTCCTTTCCTCTCCTTTCCCAGCTATCTCGCGCCCTTTCAGTTGGTCTCTGGCTCGGAGACTGTGACCCCACCCATTGATATTACTTCATGGCTATATCTAAGCCTGAGTATCTGAAAAGACCTGGGTGCATTCCTCCCCTAAAGCTAACTCAGCCGAACCAAACAGGCATGAAAATTCACCAGCCCAATCGCAAAGTCTGCTTTGAGTTAAACCCACCGAAATTGACGCCCCCGTCCACAAGAGAACCAAGTTCCTCAGGGCGATCACTCCTGTATAGCAGCTATCACCACTCCCGCTGGGCAGCAATATTAACCTCTTCCCTGCCAGGAACGAGAGAAAGGTGCCGCCACTCACACCCTTCCGCGTGCTTGAGAAGCAGAGCTTTGCCAACCAGCCCAGGCGCTGGATGACTCTTGTGAGGGGAGCGGTTACCCCAGCTAGAGGCCCTCCACTGCGAGATCCACATTTAAGGCTTGCCAGTCCCAGAGTGCTTTGTTTTCATTGATCATTTCCTGCAAGGCCAGAGGGGCCCACTGTGATCATCCAGTCGAGCTACGCTACGCAACTCCAGCTACGTGAATAACGTACCTTAGGTCGAGTTACCGCGGGGTCTAACTGCGGGGGGAGGGGAATCGACGGGAGAAAACTTCCCGTCAACTTACCTTACTCTTCTCCTCGGGGGTAGAGTACAGGGATCGACTGGAGAGCGATCTGCAGTCGATTTGGCGGGTCTTTACTAGACCCGCTAAATCGACCGCCGGTGGATCAATCTCAGAGCGTGGATCCCTCCCGTAGTGTAGACCTGCCCTTAGACAAGCCATCAGTCTTGATTTTAAAATGGCCACTGATGGAGGATCCAGCCCAGCCCTTGATAAACTGGTGCAATTGACTGATTCTCTTCACTGTTAAAAATTAAAAATCCTTATTTCTGGTCGGAATTTGTCTCACTTCAATTCCCAGCCATTGGGTCTTGTTAGACCTTTGTCTGTTAGATCGAAGAGCCCGTGATCCCATATGTGTTCCCGATGTGGGTACTTACAGATTGTGATCAAGTCACCCCTTCACCTTCTCTTTCAGCTAAACAGATGGAGGTGTGGGAGCTGCTTTCCAATCCTGGTTGATCACTGTACGAACACAGGAAAGCATCCCAGCTCACAAGCCAGTTGGGGCTCAGTAGAGCCTCCGGAGAGGAAGGAAGGATGGCCCAGTGGTTAGGGCACAAGCCTAGCTGTTGGCAGAGTTGGGTTCAAGTCCCAGCTCTGCCACAGACTCCCTGTGTGACCTGGGGCAAGTCCCCTAGTCTTTCTGCGCCTCCATTTCCCCATCTCTCAAATGGGGATATTCGTCCTGCCTGGCCTCACCGCAGAGCTGGGAGGATAAATGCATTAAGGATTAAGAGGTGCTCAGATACTAGAGTGTGGGAGGCCAGGTTTAGCTTCAGGTTAAAAGCCACTGCTTGAATTTCACTCAGAAATGCATGAGGGAGCCAGGTAGCGCAGGGTTAATGAGGTGACCCCACATCCCGCTCCAGTGGGCCCAGCTCGAATGGCTAAGCTGTCCTAGGAATTGTTCGGGGGCAATTCTCTGGCTTGTGCTATGCAGGAGTCAGACTAGATGCTCTTGTCTGGCCTTGGCATCAGTGAATCTCTAAAGCAGTAAAACTCGCCCTCTCCCGCTTGTTATTGCTGGCTGTGAGCAGCCCATTTGCGAAGCCTGGGAACGGCAGAGCTGTCAAATCAGCCCAGTGACCGGGGGGCTTCCTTGGGGATCAGCCACGCTGACCGTTACTATAATGCATTAAACCTTTCACTGCTGTTCTGGCGTCTCCGTGCTGCAGTGAACTGCTCAGACCCCATCCCTCCCTCTGCCCTGGGGAAGGGGCGACAGCCAGTCTTGGCTGTCTGTCGGCCGGAGCTGGGCGGCTCTCCTCTCTCCAGCTGGTCCCCCATTGGTTGATTAATTTTTGTTTTGTTTTTTCCTCCTTCCCCCATCTCTTTGGCCCCCAGGGAATCACGAGACGGACAACATGAACCAGATCTACGGGTTTGAGGGGGAGGTGAAAGCCAAATACACAGCCCAGATGTTTGCGCTTTTCAGCGAGGTCTTTGAGTGGCTGCCCCTGGCACAATGCATCAATGGCAAAGTGTTGGTGAGAGCAGAACGCAGCACCGCGGGGGCGCATGTTTCCGGACTGGCAGTGGGCATTGAGAGTAGCCCAAGGCCCTGTGTGTAATCCTGGGCACCTCCATGGCTTGGATCTACCTGTAGCCCAGGGGTGGGCAAACTATGGCCTGGGGGCCACATCCGGCCCTCCAGATGTTTGAATTTGGCCCTCGAGCTCCCGCCGGGGAGCGGAGTCCGATGCCTGTCCCGCTCCGTGCGGCTTCCGGGAGCAGCGGCATGTCCCCCCTCCGGCTCCTATGCGTAGGGGCAGCCAGAGGGCCCTGCATGCTGCCCCTGTCCTAAGCGCTGCCCCCACAGCTCCCATTGGCTGGGAACTGTGGCCAATGGGAGCTGCAGGGGTGGCGCCTGCGGACAGGGCAGCGCGCAGAGCCGCCTGGCCGCGCCTCTGCATAGGAGCCGGAGGGGGGACATGCCGCTGCTTCTGGGAGCTGCTTGATGTAAGCACTGCCCGGAGCCTGCACCCCTGACACCTTCCCACGCCCCTACCCGAGCCCTGATCCCCTTCTCGCCCTCTCAACCCCTCAGTCCCAGCCCGGAGTACCCTCCTGCACCCTGAACTCCTCATTTCTGGCCCCACCCCAGAGCCCGCACCCCCAGACGTAGCCCTCACCCCCTCCCACACCCCAACCCCCAGTTTTGTGGGCATTCATGGCCCACCATGCAATTTCCATACCTAGATGTGTCCCACCCCTGCTGTAGCCCCTCCGTTACCTCCCTCGGAGCTGGTCTGGGAGGGCACTGAGCGTGTTAAACCCTGGTCAGAGCAGGGTTCCGACGTTCCTCCTTGCCGTGTACTCCCCTTCCCAGCTGTTCGTGCCCCCCTCCCATTGGGGCGTGTGGAAGCTTAAGGCCAGCTCGTCGCTAGGGCCTGACCTATCCGAGCGCCCTCTCCCCGCCCCTGACCTGTGCTCTGCTCACTGCCAGATAATGCACGGCGGGCTCTTCAGCGAAGACGGGGTCACGTTGGACGACATCCGGAAGATCGAGAGGAATCGGCAGCCTCCGGATTCAGGTCAGGACAGGAAGGCGCGCCATGCGCGGGGTGGGATGTTGTCTCTGGCCGGGCCTTTCCCACTGCTAGAGGTTGCACTGGTGGGGCGGGACGGTCCCTTGGGTGCACAGATCCTGGCCCATGGGGAGAGACGGGGAGACCTCTTGGATCGCACGGTACGGCAGAGTCGTCAGCAGCTGCCTGCTTTTGTGAAGCACCCGTCCCTGTAGTACGTGGGCACCTCCGCTGGTGCTAGTCCGTGTCGCCTCAGTGACTACAATGGCTCTGTGCTGGTTTACATCAGTGGGGAGCTGGCCCGCATAATGCTCTGGGGCTGGGCATGACCTTACCCCTGTTCCCAGCTCGGCCATCTCGCACCAGATCCTCCTCCCTTGCTGCCTTTGACCCCCATGGGACTGGGCCTCAAGAATTCCAGGCTTGTCAGAGGCGTGCTGGTGTCAGGTGATGCAGCAAGGTGTGGAAACCACTGAGGGATCCCCTGGATCAGTTGCCTTGGTAAATCTGGAGGAAGTCACATGGGCCGTTTAAAGAGGCAGGACTGAGGAATGTAGAGGAGTGTAAAGGAATTACGTTTTGGCCAGATAACATGGCCCCCTTCCAAGGGAGCTGAGGGAAACCTGACAGCTGGGGTCTTTGAAACAAGGTTAAATAAGATATTAGAAAACACCAGCTAGGGACTGACTCTGCACTGAATGGAAAGTGATCACATATGTGGCGGACTTTCCATTGCTCATTTCCACGAGGGACTGCCTGGGTTACAGAGTGGAGCGTTTTCCTTTGGAAACTGGAGGGAGTTAATGTTCAGCTCTGTAGTCATGCGCTGGGCCAAACTGATCGCTGCTGTCAACCCACCAGCTTTGGTAAAGTCACCCGGGGCTGCCTCCAGGCCACGGTGCTTGTGACATGCCCTGCGTGGGAGTCCAGAGGGCGGTACGGTTTTAGCTGGATAGAAACGTCAGAGAAAGGTGTCAGGGAGCCGGTATCGTAGATTTATGCCGCATGCTGTAATATGTTTCATCCCACCCCCAGCTAAGGAGAGCCAGGCCATGTCAGTGCTTGGATGGGAGACCAAGGGAAAGGGAGTCCTGCCATGCTGCAGGAAGTGGGGCTGGTGGTAGGTAACCTTCCCTGTAAGTCAATACAGGAGCAATGCTCTAGGGGGCGCCATGCTGCAGGAAGTGGGGCTGGTGGTAGGTAACTTCCCCCGTAAGTCAATACAGGAGCAGTGCTCTAGGGGGCACCGTGCTGCAGGAAGTGGGGCTGGTGGTAGGTAACTTCCCCTGTAAGTCAATACAGGAGCAGTGCTCTAGGGGG